ATGAATTGCAGATATCACAGCAAGAAAATATAACTTCACCAAGAGGTTTTAAATGTATTTTATAAATAAAATTGATTGGTTAATTAGTGTTGAACACCGAGTCGACAACATTTCAGCCATATTTCGGCGGTAGATTAAGCTTATCTGACTGGTTTCTGAAAGGATTTTGGTTTCTCTGGCGGCCCCCAATGAGCCTACTCTTTTTCGAAATACAGAGACACGATCTTTTACGTGCCAAGGGGGTTGTAATCCTTGACACGAGGCATGATTTAACGTCCCATTCGACGGACTAAAATTTGAAAGAATATGTAAACTGTTAAAAATAAATTGCTCTATATATTCCCCATCAATACTTTTTAAGTTATTCAATTTTATATTGAATAATGTCTTTACCTTCTAAGATAAACACAACAGTTGTTCTTCCTTTTAAGGCTTTTTAAAGCGAACAGCTCTTACAGTTTCTGTTATAAATTCCACTTATTAATAATCCACAAACACGCGCTGAAATCAAAAGGAAAATGAAAGTAGAAAATCAATTATTTCTTTCGAGTATTGCATGAATAGCTCGGTGATCGGAAGGTCGTGAGTTCGGATCTCGGCTGCGACTAACCCAATTCGATAAAAAACACAGGAAGAAACTAGACCTTTCAGTTAAAACTGAAATGCGACTTTCAGTGACTTTTCAGTGACCATTCAGTCACTGAATGGCAGGCACATTTCAGTGACCTTTCAGCCACAATTCAGGTACCTTTAAGTCATCATTCAGCATACACATTTCAGCTATCTTTCAGTGACCTTTCCCTCGTCTTTCAGTGACCTTTCCGTCATCTTTCAGTGACCTTTCAGTCGTAATTCGGCGACTTTTTCATCGGCATTTCATTAGTTTTTCATTCAATATTCCTTAAAAAAATTAAACTTATTCACATCTTCAAATGTGTTTTTGTTTTCTTATTGAGAATTCAGGTTCGTACTGGAAGTACTGGTAATGGTTAGATTGTTTACTTAAATGTTAAATTGTGATTATTAACTGTAACATTTATGTCTGAATGAAATATATGGAGATAACGAACAGTATTCAAGCTCAAAAGTCCAGGATGAAGTCGAGGATGAAAATGCTCTGGTATGTAGTTTCTTCATTCTATCCCTAGAAAATAATGGAAAAATAATTTTTTTGTTAATTATACACGAGATCTTGAATGAAAAGTAGTATTTAAATTGTATAATTTTATTTGTTTGTAAGTTTTAATAATGAAACTATGTTGTACGAGACATTTTCCATTTACAGTAAACGAAATCTGCTCTTAGAAACGAATTTTTAGAGTGAATTGGTTAAACGGATTTTAACGTGGTAAAATAAAACGATAATTTTCAATTAGTCTGCAACTTTTAGTTTTTAAAGAAAAAAAAAGTGGGGTTAGGATAATTTTTCAGATGTAAGTTTATTTATTCATTTGGAATTTAACTGGGTTAAAACTGCTTGAAATTTCTAGGAAATATTTTACGGGATTTAGATTTGATCACATATTCGATCAGTTTATTTATTAGTGTAGATAACTGAATGGCAAAGAATAGAGAGTTATCGGACCTGTCCAGGTTGCGCCGTATTACCCGGTCCTTCACGATTTCCGGTGTCGGTGTAAACATAAACAGTGAGAGGAAAAATCCGTTTAATTTGTCCCTTTAAAATCCTGGAACTTGCTGCTCAGTTCCTGGTTGTCATGTTAGGGGAGGGCATGAATTCCCTGCGAATGCAGATCGTCGGAAATTATGGATTAATGCTGTGAGGCGATTGGATCAGCATACGATGAAAACATGGGTCCCATCGAAGACAGCAGTCGTCTGTAAGGAACACTTTACTGCTAACGACTATGTGCAGGAGACGATACACGGTAAAGAGCGCATTATATTTGCTTTAAAAGAATGAAATTATCGAATATTTAAATAAGACGATTTAAATGCAGGGCAACAGGGGTAGATTACGTATGTGCTCAACACGACACTAGCCTAGTACTAGCGCTATAAAATATTACTAAAATGAAAGTAAAATCAGCCAGATGTTTCACGCATTTTAATTACCTGATATGTTTTGTGTAATTAAAAAATTATATATAAAGGTCGTAATCACGGTAATGTAGGCATTGCATAATCATTATAATATATTTTCATCAAAGAAGTGAAGACAGTCATACCAGAGACATATATACTATGATTTAAATTGATTTTATATGTTGTCACGTATCGTGTTTCCTTAATTGATACTGCATTTTTTAGGGAAAAAACCATCAATAAGACGACTGCGATCATCAGCTGTGCCCAGCATTTTCCCCTGGACAAACCAAGAGTCACAATCTTCTGAGCTGCTTAACGAGAAAGGGCGAGATCCAAGGTTGAAAACAGTTGTAGGAAAAATTTAGAGGAATGCTTTAATAAAGATGATGGTGCAAATATAGAAATGCAAGAAGTTATTTCTGAAGTAAATATTTGTGAAGATAGGGAAAGTGATACTATGTGTAAGCAAGAATCTTTTGGAAAAGCAACCCAAACCCAAAATAAACCAATGTTTGATGTGGAGAATTTTGTGAATGACAATGTAGGGATGCATTTTTACACTGGTCTAGAAACTTATTGTAAGTTTTTATTTGTTCTTAGGACATTAGGTTCCATCTGCTTATTGTTTAAAATATTTATTTTTTCAAGTAGACAATCAAACTGTTTCTGTTGAAAACCAGTTTTCCATCACTTTGATGAAACTTAGGCGTTATTTAACCAATTTTGAATTGTCCAGATTTTTTTCAGTGTCTGTGTCAACTGTTAAAAATATTGTTTACACATGGATAATTTTCATGTCAAAGCAATGACAAGAAGTTAATATTTGGCCATTTCGTAGTTCAGTCAAATACTCTACTCCTTCTGATTTTAAAGCAAAATTTCCTACAACTAAAATTATTGTTGATGGCACTGAATGTCCAGTCAGAAAGCCTAAGGCTCCAAGGGCACAGCAGGCAACATTCTTATTATACAAGAATCGAAACACTATTAAGATACTTGTGGGCTCAACACCAGGTGGATTAGTTAGTTTTATTTGTTTGTATGTTATTTAACGTCCCTCTCGAGAATTTTTCACTCATATGGAGACGCCACCACTTGCCGGTGGAGAGCTGCAAATTCTGTCCTATTCTCAGCACTTACGGCCATTGAGCAATGAGGGATCTTTATCGTGCCAACACCTACTGCGACACGGGACCTCGGTTTATACGGTCTCATCCGAAGGACCGGTCTCCACGTCCCACAGTGGGATTCGAACCCGCGACGTAAGAATCAACTCCTTACTTTGCAACTCTAGAGCGGACGCTCTAACCACTGCGCCACGCGGGCGACTAGTTAATTTTATATCAAATGCTTGTGGAGGTAGTACAAGTGATAGGCAGATTGTAGAGAGATATAGTGAACCTATGTGATCCGAAAGACAGCGTAGTGGCTGATAAGGGTTTAAACGTTCAACATCTTTTTGCACGGATGGATGTCACTGTAGATACTCCAAACTTTTTCAAATATTCCAAACTTTTTCAGAAAAAGAAATAGAATGAGTGGAAAAATTCTTCTCAGGGATAGGAAGATTTCTAGTCAAAGAGTACACATTGAGAGAATAATTGGTCTAGGAAAAACTTCTTACTATTCCATTGAATAGCACAGAAACAAAAATATCATCTCATATCACTTTGTTTTTACATGTTGTGTAATTTTAGAACATGCATCATTCCTAGGGATGCATAAAGACTTAGTGCATATGTTGTCAAGTTTTCAAATCCTGTAATACATTTTGCTCATAACATCTTAAGAAGCAATGCTTTGTATAATTTAAAGAATCACAAATTCAGATAACAGTTTAATATGTAATAAGTTTACTTATTGAATGGTCTGTAAAAATGTTTGTCAAGTAATGCAGGTTTGAAATACACATAATAGAAGTTGTTTAACTTGTCAATCATGTCCAAAATAAAAGCATCATCTCTGGAAACTGATACATATTTTATGTCTGTCAACATGACAGACAATGAGTGTACATTCTTTTGCTCCAGTACATAGGATTTGGCCCTGAATCTGATAAAAGTAGTCATGTTTATCATCCAAGAAGTATGTTTCATTTTCATCATTCTTAAAATATGGCACAGTACTAACATTTATTGGTTTATCTCTAGATGTATAGGGACACTTAACTTAAACAATTAAAGTACTTGAAACAACCCCATCTGGCAAGGAAGCTTAGTGTGGGAAATCAAGTGACACAAAAAGTCCACAAGGATTGACTTTGAGTTCAGTATCTTCCATGTATCTTTGCAAAGCAGTATTCTCGTGCCTTCTACCATGTTCCAAAGGGGCTGCTTTAATCTCTGACACAACTGTTAAAGAATTGGCCAGCTCTATCATATCTGTGCGCTCTGTAGCTTTGCAAATTCTACCATATGTTGATGATGGTAACCACAATGTTCTTTCATTTTTCCATGCAGAGTTATTTGCCTGACCCCTAGTTCTTTCTTCTATAGCATTAATTCTTTACTGAGTAATATTAAGTAGGCCAATTCTTTCAAGAAAGTTATCTTGAGGTGTAAGCTTCAAATGATCATGGTCATGTGCAACAACATATGCATTAGCAGGTTCAAAGAGTTGAAATATAAGCATATTGGATATGCCTGAAAATTTTAAACAAAGGTTTCTAAAACAATCGTTGTAGCCGGGAGCATTTCTAAGGTGATCTGGTCTTGGATCAAAGTCCATATTGGTAAACTCGTCTGCACCTGGCATGCTGATGTTTTGTGACTTTATTGGACTACCGAGGAACCTCTTGCACTTGTGAAAACTCTGCAGTTTTTGTGTACATGTCTCTTCAACCTTTATGTTTCTGAACTCTTTGAACATGATAGAGGCATATATCACAGCGCATACATGCTTGCAGTGAGCACTAGGTCCCTCACCTGCAGGACACTCGCACTGGGCCTCCATTATAGACACACTTCTGTCAAGTAACAAATCATCTCGTATGAAATTCCTGTCCTGTATTCAGCATAGCAACTAGAGGCAACATAAGTTAAATCATTATCATAGGATATTTTGAAATACCGAATTGTTCGTTCATTATATAACCGCTTTACTTTATTGTCTAATTGATTATCAAATTTGGCCAGGTAACTTGTCAGTTTCTCAAGTGTAGTACCAGAAAACGTAGAGTCGGCATTTACATCAAAGTACGATAATGGGTCAGGTAACGTCATCCTATATTCGGGCTCTAAATCTTCTGTCTGTCCAAAATTCTGGTTTCTATCATAGGCAATTAGTCTAAAACAAAGGCAAAATGATCAACTTAAGCATTTCTCTATCCATTTGTTTTTAACAGAACGGCCGTGTTTACCATTGTATAACATGCGTGTGTACACACTGCACCGTAAACACCGACATTGTATATTAATATGTATACACGTGTTTTTAGACGCAGTTTATAAGTAGTCTTGAAAAAAAAATTATATTTAGTAAAAGTTCTAAAAATATTGATAACTTTCCCCTAAACTTACTCTAATTTCAGCGTAAAGCATGTTGTACATATATTTATGTACATGTGTATTGACCTCTTTACTCGATACAAAATGCCGTTAATTTACCGATCGGGGAATTATAATAATGATATATACCTTTCAAATAATTCTTTTTTACGACCAGAAAGTCGCGCATTTCTTTTTTTTAATTCATCTTTAAGGTCTTTGATGGTCATATTTGCATACTTTGTGCTTGAACACGCCATCGCTGCTTGATGTAAACAAATGATGCTGGACTGGCAACACTGCTGCCGTCTAGCGATCAGCAGCAGGAGATAACCGACTATTGTTTGCCATTGAAACAATACATCACATGTATTTCTTTACTGCTGTGTTACAGTTGCCCATCCTGCCGCCAGAGGTCATTTTTTAACAAATTTGAACCTACACTACAGGAAAATGTTTCCATATTAACATGACTAATAATGGCTTTGCTGTCCTTGAAAAATATTTCTAAAGATTTTTTTACCAATGCTGTTCTTGAGCTGATTTTTGTAATTTTTTCCCCTATTTATTCCTAAAACTTTGATTCCTCATGTCCATTGTGGTCTCACCCTAACTCTGGGGATCATGATTTGAATAAATTTGAATCTACACTACCCGAGGACACTTCCATATCATTATGACCAACCATCATCGGACAAAACATTTGAATGTGTGGCTTTCATGTTTCAAATATACATTTCTTTGATCTTATCACAGGACCTTTTCGGGCTCCACTAATTTTTATCTCTTTGGGTTCCACTAATTTTTATCTTTTGACCTTGGAGGTTAAGACTGAATCTAAAATTTGAAAGCAAGTCAGGTGACCTGTATTATACCAGAAACAAAATATCTTTTAAAAAATACTTTAAAAATTGGGTAGGCAAATTTTGATCTGTCAGAGTATATTAATCAAAACATTTATTGTTGGCTTACTGAGGAAAGCAACTGAACAATCACATTTTAATTTTTTGAACTTTCAGGAAAAGCAGGAACCAGAGGAACAAATTGCGGGTGTAATTACAAGCATTGACTTTGAAAGGTATGTGCAAGTGTGCATGTTGTATATATATATATATCTATATATATATATATATATATATATATATATATATATATATATATATATATATATATAAATATATCATGTTTTACTGAAAATTGGGGAAATAAAAAAAATGGGGAAACAAGAGGCCCATGGGCCACATCGCTCACCTGAGCACATTGGCTAGGCAAAAACACAAATCAGTACAGTATTGAAAAGATTACCCGGGGGGGGGGGGATATTCCTTTGTAAAAATTTGATCCCCCATTGTGGATCCTCCCTATCCCAGGGGTCATCATTTGAACAAACTTAAATCTACACTACCTGAGCATCCTTCCATATCAATATGACTAAACATAGCTTTTCTGTTGTTGAGAAAAAAATATTTTTTTATATGTTCTTATGCAAAACTTTCGATCCCCATTGGGCCCCACCCTACCCCTGCGGGTCATTTGAACAAAACTGAATCTACATTACCTGAGGATGCTTCCATATCAAAACCAGAAGTCTCTGATGAGACTGTAGCTCTACTGGTTGTACTTATAAAGGAAGATAAAGGTAGTACTTGGATTTGAAACTTTGCAACAGTAATAAATAGAATAATGATCCTTGGTTTAGTCTGTTTTTGTGGGAAGATTTATTGCAATCAGAATAAAACTGTAGGAGGAGTAGCCTTTTAAAATAATTTTACAGAAATTTCGATTTAAGTAACCATGGCAACATCATTCAACAAAATCAAAAAGCAATAATGACAATTATGTATCTCAGTGTAGTCTGCTTGTATGACAAGTTATACCGAAATCAGACAAAACATGTAGGGGGATTAGCATTTTAAAAATTTTCTATTTTTAGTAACCATGGCAACATTATTCATCAAAATCCAAAACTGGTACAGAGAACTATGTATCTTAGTGTAGTCTACTTGTGTGTCAAGTTATACTACAATCAGACCAAAACTGTAGGAGGAGTAGCATTTTTAAACTATTTCAAGGAAATTTCTATTTTTAGTAACCATGGCAATACCATTCATTGAAATCAAAAACCGATACATAGAATTATGTATCTTTGTGTAGTCTACTTGTATGCCAAGTTATATTGAAATGAGATCAAAACTGTAGGAGAGTAGCATTTTGAAAGTATTTCAAGGAAATTTCTATTTTTAGTAAACATCGCAACACTGTTCATCGAAATCAAAACCTGATGGACAGAATTACGTATCTTAGTATAGTCTACTTATATGCCAAGTTATATTGAAATAAGATCAAAACTGTAGGAGGAGTAGCGTTTTGAAGGTTTTTTACAGAAATTTCTATTTTTAGTAACCATGGCAACACTGTTCATTGAAATCAAAAACCGATACACAGAATTATGTATCTTAGTATAGTCTACTTGTGTGCCAAGTTATACTGATATCAGACCAAAACTGTTGGAGGAGTAGCGTTTTGAAAAATTGTTTACAAACGGACTGACAGAGACAGACAGACGGACGGACGGACGACGGACACCTTACTATCGCATCAGCTCTTCTGGTCTCTGACCAGTAAAGCCAATGACTAATCATGGTTTGCAGTTCTTCTTCAGAAGATATTTTCCTATATATTTCTATTTAAGACTTTGATTCTCCATTGTGGCCTCACCCTACCCACCGGGGTCATGATTTGAACAAAATAGAATCTACACTACCTGAGGATACTTCCAAAAAAATAGGATCAATCAAGGCTTTGCTGTTTCTGAGAAGATTTTTTAAATTTTTCCTATACATTTCTATGTAAAACTTTGATCCTCCATTGTGGCCCCGCCCTACTCCCGGGGGTCATGTTTTGAATAAACTTGAATCTACACTACCTGAGGACACTTCCATATAAATATGACCAATTTTTGCTTTGCTCTTCTTGAGAAGAAGATTTTTAGAGATTTTTAGCTCACCTCATCGAAGTTGGGGGAGCTTATGTAATACCCTCGGCGTCGCGTCGGCGTCCCAGGTTAAGGTTTTTGGAGCAGTTTTCTTTTCAAGTACTTATATGGCCTATATTAGTTAGAGATGCATGGAGGATGCTTTTAGTGTGTGTGTTTTATTGTACCAGTCAAGGTTTCAGATGCTGCAATTTCAGCTAAAGAATGACCAGGTTAAAGTTTTTGGAGCAGGTTAAAGTTTTTGGAGCAGGTCTCATTTCCAAGTAACTATAAGCCCTATATTGACCAAACTTGCGTGGATGATACATCTAAGGATGCACACTACTGGACTTGCTTCGGATGCTGGATCTGACCTACATTTTCCGGATGAGTGACTTGGTTAAAGTTTTTGAAGTAGATCTCATTTCCAAGTAACTATAAGCCCTATATTGACCAAACTTGCATGGATGATACATCTAAGGATGCACAATACTGGACTTGCTTCGGATGCTGGATCTGACCTATATTTTCCGGATGAGTGACCATGTTAAGGTTTTTGGAGCAGATCTCATTTCCAAGTAACTATAAGCCCTATATTGACCAAACTTGCATGGATGATACATCGAAGGATGCACACTACTGGACTTGCTTCGGATGTTGAATCTGACCTATATTTTATGGACAGTGACCAGGTTAAAGTTTTTGGAGCAGATGTCATTTCCAAGTATCTATAAACCCTATATTGACCAAACTTGCATGGATGATACATCTAAGGATGTACACTACTGGACTTGCTTCGGATGCTGGATCTGACCTATATTTTCCGGATGAGTAACCAGGTTAAGGTTTTTGGAGCAGATCTCATTTCCAAGTAACTATAAGCCCTATATTGACTAAACTTGCATGGATGATACATCTAAGGATTCACACTACTCGACTTGCTTCGGATGCTGTATCTGGCCTACATTTTCCGGATGAGTAACCAGCTTCAAGTTTTTGGAGCAGATCTCATTTCCAAGTAACTATAAGGCCTATCTGAACCAAACTTGCATGGATGATGCATCAAGGGACAAACAATCTCAAAACTTGCTTCGTATGCTGGATTTGACTTACATTTTCTGGATGAGTGACTAGTTTTAAGTTTTCAGATAAGTCTATTCCCAAGCCCTATCAGACCAAAATTGCATAAATGTTGCATCTACGGATGCACACTCCTAGATTATTAGTTAAGTGTGGGCATTTGCCTTACTTAAAGACAACATTCGTTGAGGTGAGCTCTGTAATCTCTGATTACCTATGTTTCCTATATATTTCTATGTAAAACTTTGATCCTCCATTGTGGTCCCACTCTACCCCCGGGGGTCATGGTTTGAACAAACTTGAATCAACACTACCTGAGGATGCTTCTATATAAATATGACTCATCATGGCTTTGCTGTTCTTGAGAAGAAGATTTTTAAAGATTTTTCCTATATATTTCTATGTAAGACTTTGATCCTCCATTGTGGCCCCGTCCTAACCCCGAGGGTCATGATTTAAACAAATTTGAATCTACACTACCTGAGGATGCTTCCACATGAGTTTCATATTTCCTGGCCCTGTGGTTGTAGAGAAGATTTTTAAATGATGCCATTATTTTATAATTCCTAATTATCTCCCCTTGAAAGAGGGCGTGGACAGACGGACGCTGGACAAAATGTGATCAGAAAAGCTCACTTGAGCTTTCAGCTCAGGTGAGCTAAAAATGAGAGGCCTATGGGCCATAACACTAACCACATTTTACCCTACACTATCTAATGCTTCCATACAAATGCCCAATCATAACTTAGCTGTTCTAGAAAAAAGATTTTTTAAAAAGAAATTTATATGTAAAACTTTTATTCCCATTGTGATCCTGCCATTTCTCTATCAGCATGATTTGAACATACTTGCATGTACTCTACTTCTAGATGAATCCATGTAAGGCGACCATAATTTGATTTTTAGTTTTACGGATCCGCTGACTCTAAAAATTGGCATTTGAAAAAAAAAATCTGGAATTTTTCAAGCCGCTTGTGTCAAACCCATGTTTTATAAAAGCAAATCACTCAGATACATAAAAACACGTGCACGGAATGATGGACATCGTTGGATTGGTTTCATTGTTTTCAAAAACCAAACTGCACTTTCAAACAGTTCAGGGATCTATCAGTACCCCATATTCGTCCCCATTTCCAACTGAAAATGAGTTCAGTTTTTTCCTGGCAGTGTTTTTCCCAATAGGTGAACAATGCTTTTAAAATTGTCTTGGAAAAACA